TAAAAATAATAATTATTATTATTAATAAATTATTATTAAATTATATTTTAATTTTTAAATAATATGAAAAAGATCATGATGTTAATTATTAAAAAAAAGGATATTTATATTTAATAAATAAAATATAATTAAATACAAGAAGACAACTAAACAGAAATAAATTTATATAATTTTATAATTAAAAAAATATTTATATCATAGTTATTAGTTATCACAGAAGTCACATAAATAAATTACTTGTTCGATTTAATATTTTTTATTCTATTTTTTAAACAATTTTTTTAATATGATTTTTTAGAAAATAATTATATATATTTACTTTTGTTTATACAGGCTACAGAGCATAGATGGCATTGTTGTTAATTGTTGGCCAATTAAGCCCAAAAAGATTGATAAGAATATTTTAGAACCCATAATAATTATTTTTTAACATTCCAAATTCAATTTTGATACTCATAAGAAACTACCCTCTTCCAAGTAATCACGGGTAAGAGCATCTCCAATCGAACGTCATTCGTCTGTTTGTAGCTCTTGCGAGAGATCACCCCAATTGCAAATAGAAATGCATTTTTGTGTTTTATCTCAGTTGTGAACAGTGTGACGCCAAGCACCATTCACACTCATTTTTTGTGTTAGAAATGGATTGTTAAACAGAGATGATAAAGATTATATACCTAATATTCCTTTTTAGTGTTAGAAATGGCCTTCAGTTAGAGATGAATTACTATTTGAAATCACCAAAAATTCATCTTAATAGATCACAAACCTCGATGTAAATATTAGATTGAAGCTCCAAAAGTTAAAATCGGGATCATATGATCTCCAATTTTAGTAAACTTATAGTCAAATTGAACATCTCAAGGAGACGAATCCAACGACATCAAATTTAATCCAATCCGAGCCAAAATGAGCCCAAATCAAATGTCTAAAGTCTATTTGGAAGCTTCAGAGCATTAATTAGAATATTGCATGATATCAAATATGGCATGCTTATAGTCGAATCGAGCGGCTCAACGAGACGAATCCAATGAGCCCATGATCACTCAACTCTAACATCTCTAGGGCATCTAAATTCTTGATAAATATTTTATGATCAAGTTGATCACTATGAGTTGTCTGATAGAATACTCTCAGCATGCTCTTGATCTTTTCTATATTTACTAGTCATGTCACTTCCAAAAGGCTATAAATAGCCCATCATTCTTCACATGAGGAGGGAGGAGAAAAAAAGAGGAAGAGAAGAATGAGAAAACTTGAAGAGCTCTAAAGCTGAAGCTCCGGCACCACCGCCGACAATTTTGCACCACCAGGTTACTGCTGTTGAACCTTTAACCGGCCATCACCATCGGAATACCATAGGGAAACCATTGACAAGACTTCCTTTGACCATCGTCAACCACCGACCATGGTCTCTCCGATCACCGTCTTCAAATTACAATCCTTCATACCTCCGTCACCCGCCGACTATGGTCCTTCCGACCATCTTTGCCTGCCAACTATAATCCTTCCCGACCACCATCATCGGACTATGGTCCTTCCGACCACTGTCGCCTGACTATGGTCTTTCTAACCTCCATCATCTGCCAAGTATGATCATTCCTATCACAGTCGCCTGACTACTGTCTTTCCGACCTCTATCGCTCGCCGACTACGAACTTTCTAACCACTGTTGCTAGCCGACTATGATCCTTCCGACCGCCATCACCCAACTACGATTCTTCCACTCACCGTCGTCTGACTACAGTCTTTCTAACCTAAGTCGTCCTCCAACTACGGTCCTTTCAACCATCTTCATCCAGCTACGGTCCTTCCAACCACTGTCACTTGACTATGGTATTTCTGACCTCCGTCTTCCATCAACTACGGTCCTCCTGACCTTCATCGCCGGCCGACTATGGTCTTTCCAACTACCATCGCCAACTACGGTCCTTCTAACCACCGTCGTACGACTACAGTCCTTTCGACCATCGTCGCCTGACTACGGTCTTTCCGACATATGTCATTTGCCAATAACGGTCCTCCTGACTTCCGTCGCCCACTGACTATGATCCTTCCAACAACAATCACCAACTACGATCCTTCTTATCTCTGTTGTCCGCCAATTACATTCATTTTGACCTCCGTCGCCTGCCGACTACGGTCCTTTTGACCACCGTCGTCAGCTGACTACGGTCCTTCCGACCATTGTCATCATACTACGGTCCTTCTGACTACCACACCTGAGTACGATCTTTTCAACCTATGTCACCCGACTACAATCTTTATGACCATTGTTATTCGACTATGATCCTTTTAACATGCTTTGTCTTGTGATTAGTTCGTAGATACTGATAGAAAATAAATAAACACTTCGAAAAAGTACATGCTACCAACATCGCTTGCCGACTATGGTGCTACCCACCAAAGGAACATATGAACATTGATTTTTCAAACTCCCATCATATAATGCACTATATATGACATGTATTTACTACATCGACCCAATGTCTTCCTCCTAAGGAATGATCTCATTTGTAATCAATTGCAAACACTAGTGGATTTATTTAAATTAGGACAAGCCCCATGGTTTTTCTCCTTTTCAGGTGTTTCCACATAAAAAATATGGTGTCTTTATAAACACTATAATCATACTCTTTGATCTGTTTGTGTGTTGGATATTCGTAGAAAATTAAGACGCTAAACTATATCACTCTTTATCGCCGCGAATATTACAGGACACAATACTGTTTATTTTGAAGTGAAAAATAGATTTACGAATGAAGATTCACTAAGAAGATAAATCAATTGGAGAAATTCTAAATTGCCCAACTTAATCAATTTATAAATAAAGTAATAAAACCCGAGAACCAACTATAATGCTTATTACATGTACTAAGAAAAAGTTTAGCTCCTATTCCAAAATATTCAAGTTTTTTTTTTTAAAGATAATTAAATTATAAACTTACCCACATTACAATAAGTAAATCTCCAATTAATTTTTTTTTTTTTAGAAAATCTAAGTTCTCAACCAACACAGATAAGCTGCATTAAATTCACTGGACTTACCCACCTGACTTAGTTCGGTTGGTGGGTGAGCTTGAATGGAAACCCCCCAACTCACATTAGATTCCTCTCTCGGGCGACTCACCTTCTTAGAGGAGAGAAGACATGCTTGGGCCCGATACCTGTGGGTTGCAGGTTCCACCAAAAGATTAGTTACAACATCAAATATCTCCTTAAAAAAATCAGCGAATAGATATCCCGTTTCCAAAAAAAATACTGTACTTATTCTAATGATATGCTATTGCGATAACCAAGTAAATAAATTTAATGGTGGGAGTGAGGTCATTTTCTAGTCTTTCTGGCTTTTCTGGACATTCTGAGTGGACTATTTGACAGATGATTCATTAACTTTCTAAAAGCCTTCCGTCCTTAATCAGATTTTCTTTCTTTGTCTGTAGTCTTTAGACTCTTTTACTCTTTACTATTTATAAGCGCGTGCAAACCACCTCTATCAGATGGGTTAGAAGGCCTGGAGAGCACGAGCACAAATAAAAAACAAAATGATTGTTTTTGGAGAAATAATTATAAATAGTGGAGAGAAAAAACACTCCAGCATTGCTAAAAACTAGCCTAAGCCACAAAATTTACACATGTCAAAAAGAGTAATCCAAAAAGAGTTGGATGCTGAAGTAGTTGGGCTCAGGATCAAAAACAATTGCATGTGCTCCTGGTTACAGTCAATGCCATTCAGAACCATAGGTTGCAAACATCCACCGTCCGTCCAGGGAGCGGCCAAGGCAATTGCACATCATTGCCCTCATATCCAACAAAGCAAAGCAAAAACCTTCTCGCCACAATCCCCAAAAAACCATCAAGACATACAGAATCGAAGCCTGCATAGAGCAGAATATAAAATGAGCCATAAAAAGCAGAAAAATCGACTTATAACAGGTTATGCATATGATATCCATCTCTCCATTTGCAAACCTAAGCCCGAATAGCATTTTTAATCTTCAGAAGAACCGTGGAAGTGCTAGAAGCAGACAAAGCAAATCTCCTTTCATTTCTTTCTCTCCAAATGTGATAAATAGAGCAGCAAATAATAATAAATTGAAATCTCATTGTTTGAATCGAAAGGTTGGGATTATCATTAACCCAATCAAACAGCTGCATCAAATTTAGTCTAAGAAGAATAGAGGCACTGTTTGGAATAAGTTCAGTAATTAAGGAATGAGAGAAGGAGCAGTTAAAAAACAAATGAACGGAACTTTCAGTATAGCCATGGCAAAGGGAACAGCAAAGCTCCACCCCTATATTCCTTCTATTGAGCTCCAAAGCAATGCCCTTTTTTTTTTTTTTTTTTTTTTTTTGAAAAATTTTTTTTTTTTTTTGAGACTTTTCATATAAAAATTATAGTGATTCTAAACTCTCTTTTTATATGCTAAATATTCATGCAATGTTAAAACAAAAATCTCTCTTACTTTACCGCGGCAAATATTTTAGCCCGCAACAATAAGATATTAAATTTTGATGAAACTTGAAAATATTAGTCATAAGTATCCAAATGTTAGTCTAATTAACTAATTAAGGTATGTAAATAGCAAAAAAAATAATTATCAACTTCATATAATTCAAACACCATTATTTTTTTTGGACATTTATATTATGATATTTGAAAAAAATTACAATAAACTTGATTTTAAAAGTATTGTGGAATTACACGGCCTGTCAAATGAGAGATTAAAGGTGTCCAAGCTTGACCCAACCCGAATCCTATCCAAAAAATTTCAGGTTCGAGTCAATCAGATTGTCATATGGGTTAGGTTTGCATTGACCCAAATCAATTCGGGTTGAATCCAAACCCAACCCGTTGACCCACTTTGACACCCTTATTAGAGATAATCTGCCAAATGCTTCTGATAATCAATGTAATTACATCCCAAGATTGTTCTTAAGTTGCAAATCAAAATCAATTATCATAATTGTTTTCTAAAAATAATAATAAAAAAAAACCAAAATAACAAAATGAAGAACAAGTATTTTTTAAGAAAAGGATTACAGCAACAGGTGCTAGTACATGTTTCACCATATAGCTTCCAAGAAGTTACACATTCCCGCTGGAATCAGTTAATTTGACAAGAGACTCCATTCCCATCTAAGAAACATTTTAACTCCAATTCACCCTCATCAAGAAAATTGTTGGTACTCCGATATCCATTCTAGTAAAACCTACTCCATCACCTTGCATTTCAAGGAAGGGAGGATTGTGGTGGCGGCGGCGGAGGCATCGACATTGGAGGTGGCATAGGTCTGCCCATCACTTGCTGCTGAGGTGGTGGCGGCGGCCTCCACATAGGTGGCGGCACAACCATTCCTGAAGGAGGCGGCGGCGGCCTCATCATAGCTGATGATGGAGGCGGCATTATATTAGATGGAGGCACCATATTAGGGGGTGGAGGTCGAATCGGAGGCCTAAATTGCATTTGCATTTGATGTTGTTGCATTGCTGGAGGACCAATGCCTTGGCCTGGTTGCTGTGGCTGACCGGGCCATGGCGCTGCCGCCATCTGCATCTGAATATGCATAGGAGGGGGAAATTGCCCGCCTTGAGGTGGCGGCGGAGGTCGAACCGTTAATACTGGAGCAGGTGGAATCTGGCCATTGATAAAAGGTCGAGGAGGGATAGGTGCACTCATGGAGGCATTTGCTTGGGATCCAGGAAGGGAGGGTGGACCACTGGCAAATAAGGTATGAGGCCGGTTTCTCTGCGTCCCAGGATTGTTTGAAGCAAGAATTCTCTCTGCATATTGTCAATAGAAGATTTCATTTTGTAGACAAAATATCTAATGAAAAATGATGAATTAGTTTTCATTCGTTCTGTATGTGAAATCAAAATTCCTCAATCTGAGGGAGTTTTAAGCACTGTTTTGAAAATCGGACCGGACCGATCGGTTCAACTGTGAACTGGTTTGGTGGCCGGTCCAATCTTAGCTTACAAAACCGGCTCTGCATCGGACGGATCGATCCTTAAATGATATTTATATGTATAAAATTTTATTATATTTTATAAATATTATTAAATGCTTATATACTTATATTATATTATGTTAATTTTATTATTTATTATGTCATCCGATTCAATCCCAATTCGACCAGTCGAATCAGTCAAACCGTGAATCTCTCCTTCTTTTGATTCGTTGTCCGGTCCGATTTTCACAACCTTCATTTTAAGAGGTTATTAATGTTTGAAGCAAGAATTCTCCCTACATACTGTTAATAGAAGATTTCATTTTGTAGATGAAACTATCTTCCAGAAAAATGAGGATTTTGTTTTCATTCGTTTAATATGTGAATTCAAAATCATTATATTTGAATAAAGTTTGTAATGCTTGGAAGTTAAAATCAAGAGCGATTTCAACTTCACCAAAATAAATGAAACTAAGAAAAATTGTTGTTTTTCAAAGCAAAGTTTTTAATTTCAGAAGAATGACTTACCTGCTGGTGTTCCATGGCGTTCACCCTTTGTATCCTTCTTGTACGCATATGAGACTGTAATTTGGCGGTTACAAAGGTATTGGCCATTCATGGCCTGTACAGAAAGAAGTATATAATTACTTGTACCGATGGTCCTTAAAAGGTTCTCCATTAACCATTAGTTAACAAAAAATATGCACCATAACCTTTGTTTGGGTAAAAGAAGAAACAGATGATAAATGTTAAACTGTATTTTTATATTAGTTTGGAAGTACCTCTATTGCTGCATCAGATGATTCAAATGAATCGTAGCTCACAAAACCAAAGCCTCTTGAATTCCCAGTTTCAGGATCTCTCATTATCTGAATGGTAGCAAGACAAAGTCAGGTTTGCGCAGCAAGATGCGGGATCCTAAAGTCTAGAAGAATCATAAAAGTAATCGAGGACGTTTCATATAAAAAAAGATGAATAATGGGTGAAAATTTTAAATTATTTAAAATTCCATGTAGAATTCCTGTTCGTTATTTGGCCAAGGTCGTCCTGACAGTGGATTCCCAGTTCATAAAACGAAAGATAATAAAAAGCCATGGCTGTAGACTTATTAGGTAAATTACAAAGAGATTATAAAAGAGTAATAAACAGTAAATCCATAAACCCAAAAAAAGTGAAGAATGATGGCACGATTACAGTAATATATAGCGGATAATAAGATAGGATGGCGCTAGGCAGTCTAAGCTATGTGTGTGTGTGTGTGAGAGAGAGAGAGAGAGAGAGAGAGAGAGAGAGAGAGAAAAGGGAAAAGAGAAAGAGAGAGGAGGTGGCTTGCAGTTTTAGAGGGAGAGAGGGAGCCTTGCTGGCTTGCAAAGTGTTTTCAATTATCATCAATATAAGTACATAAGGCATGCTTCCTCGAGTTAAAAGAGGTTCTGTTGCATATTATATCACAATTGTACTTGCTTTTCATCTTTCTAGCATCATAAATCTGGATGCATCAAGACTTGAACAAGAAAGATTCTCTAAGCAAGTGGAATAAGTTTGAACAAAGGGTAGAAAATGTAGAAACAGAAATTATTATAATTTAAAAGAGATTTGAAAAATTAGAAGATAACGTTTGACAAATTAATGGGTAAATTACATGAAATATCTGCCAAATCGAAGCCATAAGATTTTAAATGAACCAAACTAGAAATTTTAGAGAATTCTCTCATGATGCAATTGAAGTCAAGACTACATTAATTGGTATAATATATTTCAAATAGGGTTATCATTTTAGCTGCATTTAGTATGGCAATCATACTTGCTTTTAATCCTTATAACGCCATGAATTTGGATGAATAAAGAGTTGAATAACATAAGACTCTACGCAAGTGAAACAAGTTTAAACATAAGAAGGAACAAATGATTATAAGTCAAGAGAGATTTGAAAAATTAGAAGATAAGATTGAAGATTGAAAGATTAATGGGTAAATTAAATAATATGTCTATTAAAAGAAAGCCATTAAGATTTCAAATAAACAAAATAAAAAATCTTTGAGGACTTTATCATGGTACTCCTGTAGCACACCCTTAACTAATGACCATATAAGAAATCCACCTCATCGGTGACCTTTAACTCCTCCAAATATCTTGATGAAGATATGAGAGCGTTGATCTTGATGATGAATCTTTAAGCGAGAGAAAGAGAGGAACCAATATAGGAGAGAGAGGCAAAGGTTCCATTTAAGATGGTTGCAATTGTTTGAAAATTTTGTTATAAGACTATTGTGGGAAAATAAATATTTTAAAGTTGTTATAGGCATTATAAACTTTTGCTTTCTTTTTAAAAAGTCAAACAATACCTTTCTTACAGCTATCATACTATAGTAGATTTAGTTATAAAAAAGTTAATTCTCAATAAATAAATTTCTCAAAAATAATAAGAAAGATAAAGTCAAATAGGACTATGGTTGATGTTTGGAAAGCAAAGCGAGAAGATGGCACTTGGTTGTGAGAGAAAAAAAGAAAAAGAGGGATGGTGCAAGAAGGGAAAAAGAAAATGGGGGAAGAGAGAGAGAGAGAGAGAGAGAGAGAGAGAAGCGGCTAATAATCTAAGAGGGAGAAAGGGAAGACTTCTGTGCTAAGAAAATCAATATGGTTTCATGCCATTTTAGAAAAACAATCTATCTTCATGCTATATCAAAAAAATCAATCTGCTTTAATGCCAATAAAATCCAATATGAAAATAATTCTTGCTAAAATAATTAATGAAAAAGAAAATTATAGGTATTAACCAGAAAGATGAGTCAAAAATATGTTGAAACGATTAAAGATAAGCATGATAAACTACTAAGTACAACTAATTGTGGAATAACAAAAAAAAAAAACAATTTTAATAGGATTTCATCAAGGGTCAGCATTTAGTTTCTATTGCTGTGTAATGGTTATGGTGATGCTTTCCTTGCTCCACATACTTCAAGAAAATAATCTCTCACATTCTACACTCTTTTTTCTAAGATATTTTCTCTTCAATAAAATGATTGGCATATCCAAGAATAATACAAGACCGAACCAAAAAAAAAAAAAACAAGTTACTTCAATATGGTCCATTTATTGTTGATTCAACTATCTAATAAAAGAAAAATGAAGAATTTATTATCGCCTTCTCCCTATTCTTCATTTTTCTCTGAAAGGTGTGGAATCTCACTTGATAGCTGAAGCTAACAAAAACAAAAGTAGAAAAAGAAAAACTTATTTATTAAAACAAAATTTTGCTGCTGGAATGAAGAGCTAACCCAGCTGAATTGAACCAACAGCGAACAGGTTGAACCCGACTAACTGGGCAGGGGCAGTTGGGTGTAGGGGTGTCATGTCACAAACCCAACAAGAACCCGGCCTGACCCCGTTGACCTAGTTGAGTGAGATGAGTGATCGAGCATGGGCGTCTATGATGTACAGACATGGACAAGTCGACACAGATACAACACGACACAGACACGAGACACTTAAATTATTGAAAATATAGGGCATAAACACGGGTTGGAATGATATTATAATTTTTATATTTTATAAGAAGCTTATAAAATTGAATAAGTATTGATACGTCATCACAAAATCATCTTGATCGGGCACGAATCTCGAGGCAAAAACTAGTTGATGTTATTGAAGTACTGAGTGTGGACGATTGATTTGGTGTTGTGGAGAGAAAATAGGAAATTTTATTTTTATATTTTAAATAAATAAATTTAAATATAAGAAATTATATTAAAAATAAAATTTTATAAAATATTTAAGACACGTGTGTTGGACATATGAGTCCAAGTTGTATTTAATATATTTTTTAATTAGACATGTTTTCGAAATGTCCAACACATGTCGGAGGTGTGTCGGATACATGTCGGATATTGCAAGCCTATCTGAGGAGAAAGATCATTGCATCATAGGTTAGCAATTGAGCGGGTGAGCATGAGCAGCGAGCAAGCCAGCGAGCGTGAGAGGGCAAGCATGAGCGAGCAAGTGCGACGGAGGACGAGCGCGTGTTGCTTTTGGATTTTCGGGTTGACTTGAACCCGACCGAAAATTGCAATAGGGTCAGAATATGAAACTCAAACCTAACCCGTTTTCCAAACGGGTTGACCCAGACCCTGACCCTGAATTTTTGGGTCAGGTTTTCGGGTCGTGTCAAATATTAACACCCCTAGTTGGGTGGATGGATATTCTATGAAGGGCCAATTTGATCTGCTGCCCGTTGATTAGGTGTTGCATTTGATTCATTCAGCTTAATATATTTTCAATGATAGACTTTGATATTTGTATTATTGTGTCTAGCATGTTCTTCCAAGATTCTTGCCCAATCTTCGCATTGTTGTACTTTATTTGAATCCAACTGAATATGTTGGCACCTAACACTCCCGTTGTCATGAAAAACAACCATGTCCTCAAGGTTGAGAGATGGAAAGGCAGTACAAAAAGCTGAAATATTCTCCTAAGTAGCATCTTTTGAATTAGTGAGATTCCATTGCAATCTATGAGGTTGACCACACAGATGAATCAAACGGGAGGCAAGAATAGCATTAGGTAAACTGATGAGTTGATTATTATGAATATTTTGTGGTAATGGGGTAGGTATAAGCGGTGGATTGCCTTTAAAAGGTTTAAGAACTAAAATGTGGAAACTAGATAAATCTTACTTCCTAACGGAAGCATAAGATGATATGTGATATGGCTAATGATATATTGAACAGGATAAGGCCCAAAGAATAATTTAGCAAGCTTAAAATGGATATTGTTAAATGTAAAAAATTGTTGAAAGGGTTGGAATTTAACCATAAGTAGGTCTCCAACAAAGAATTGGAAATCACAGCCATGGCGGTCGACCATGGATTTCATTCTATATTGAACTTGTTGCATATTTTGACGTAGGGTATGTAAGTGGATATTGACAATAGCAATATCAAATGTTCCAAAGATATATGATGGAATATATTGAGGCTGTATATCATTAGGGATGTCAAAACGGGTCTGTGGATTGGGTTCGGGTCGAACCCAGATTGACCCGGGTCTAAACGAGTTGACCATAATCTGACCCATTTTTAGAAATAGGTCAAAAAAATCCAACCCAAACCCGACCCGCACAGGTTACCGCCTTGACCTGACCCAACCCGCAGACCCATGAACCTGAATCATCTTGAGTCTACCCAAATTCGAAATCTGAGCCACTGTAGCATTCAATCGAGTGATGTGTGGCTTTCGTCCGCTGTAGAAATCAAAGCCGCCTCTAGTGCCCCAGCCGCTGTCCCTGCTGTCGTATGGTAAGACACATAGAACGCCCGGAAGCCCTGCTTCAAAACCCTTCGCACGCAATCGAGGACCCCCTTGTATGGGTTGCTTCCCATCTGCAGACGCTACTTAACGGTGTCCATTGGCGTGAAAACAACATCACGCAACTGTGGCGTGGGAAGCAGGGTTGTTCGGATGGTCTTCGATAAGAAGGCACTTGGAGATCTTGTAGACAGAGAAGTAGGCAGCATGGGCAGGTCCGGCGCCAAGTCCCATAGCACTGATGTTGAGGTAACTAAATGGATCAACTGGGTAACTTTCGGGTTTTCGGGTCAAAAGACCCGCATGAGGCATTGTGAAAGATTTAATTTCTTAATATGGGAGACATTTACTAACAAAATCAGCAACATCTTTATGAAGAACTGGCCAATAAAAATTTGCAGAAAGTCTTTTTATGGTATTAAATGTGCCTCCATAGCATGAAAGTGTGTTGAATGAAATTTTGTAAGTAATTTATTTTATAATGGAGAATTTTTACTGAAATAGAGACGACCTTTATTATAGAGGAGAATCTCTCTAATTTGATAATTGTTGTGGACAATTCACC